AGGATGTACTATTGGCCCATTTAGGGGTTGTTGATTCCTTTTGGATCGTTCACTGTCCTCTCTGCCTCCACCAGTCAGAAACCCTTCCAGGGAACAGAGAGTGCCAAAGCCATGAGAACTTTTTGTTCCCTGATGGTGATCAGGTGACGTTACCAGTGGACGGAGTCCTCTTCTCTCAAATAGAACTAGACAGAACTTAGTGCTTGCAGTCCACAGTGATTAATGTTAGGGCTGACCCATCCTGAAGTTTACCTGAGGGCTGATAACTCCTTGTCATTTTTTTACAGTGTTGGAAACTTCTAAATTTTGTACTGGCCATCTGTGAGGTTTATTGATGACTGTATATATGATGTGATTTTACAAAGCAATGAAACATAAGAAAAGCAACTTTATTAAACTATACCATATGTATATATATAGGCACTGACAAAAACCAAAAACAAAAAAACATAGTTCGTCTGATCCCTACACACTTGTGCATGTGTTCTTTGGCCCTATAATGTAAGAGGGTCATTCTTACTAAAGTAAGCCTCATCATTCCATGATGATCCAAGACCAGCAGAGTCTCTCTCAATAAGAAGTGTTCTTAAGCAGCCGGTAAAGCTGAAAAGAGGCAGGCTCCCGGTGTTAATGATCGCACGTGGCATGTGTGTCAATCACTGCTGGTGGAATGTACACCTGGTATGGAATCCCCAGTTTCCTTCAGCTTTTTTCTATCTGTGAAACCTCTGAGGTAAGTCTAGCCATATTGCCAGAGGCAAGAGGGTCAGGGTGATGGATGTTGACAAATGGGGGCTGGGGCAGACATTTGGGGAGGGGATGCTCAGTGTCATGCCTGGTGTGCTCCAGAGCGGTGGCTGGTCTTCCATTTGCTTTTTCTTTAAAAGAAAACCATTTTTCTACTTTACTTCTAAGTTATTTATACATTTAAGTTATATATTACGTACGTAAGTGGTCAGTAGCTACTTAATGGGGCTTCATTCAAGCAGGTGTGGATTAAAGCAGAAAAGAGAACAGGAATGGCTTCTGCAGGAAGTGGACCTTTCAAAGTCCGAAGGCCCCCCCAAAGGCCCCCATGAGCTTGTCTCAATTAGCCCTATAGTCAACGGACCTTTTCACATGTTGTCCATTAAAGGTGTACCTAAATATCTTCAATAGAAATCATTTGAGGCAAGCAAGAGTGGGAGTAAGGAATTGAAACCTAAGTCAGAAGAATTGTTTTCCACCCTTTTTGCTTAATTCATGGTTCAATAGTTAGATACAATTTGTACCACTTCAGATCTGTACTCAGACAAAAATATAGTAACTTGAAATATTGTGTTTAAAGAAATTTGAGTGTTCTATCATTAAATTATTTACCTAAATAAAAATATTTTTGAATTCACACCATTTACAGTATACTGTATTGAGCTCTGGGTATTCAGATATTAATGGTCTGGTTTCTGTTCTCAGGGATCTGATGGTCTAGATGTTTGTTTTCAGTCAGAAGAGCAATATTCTAGAATATAATTTAGAACAAAAAAATACAATCCAAATTATGTGTGTGTGTGTGTATGTAAAATCAATGATGTGTGTGTGTAAAATCTTTTCCTTAACGGTGTTTTTGTTTTTATATTGTGGTTTCTTTGTAGTCTTTAAATTAGTTTCATGGTATTTCTTTCTTTTTTCTTCCCCAGCTTTATTGAGATATAATTGACAAATAACATTGTGCATGTTTAGGGTGTACAATGTTATGATTTTATATATATGTTTATTATGAAATGATTATTACAATAAGGTTAGTTAATGTCCATCACCTCACAGGTTACTATTTATTTATTTATTTATTTTGAGGTGAGATGGTATTTATTTCTAAGATTTAAGTTGGTCAAATCCATATTTCTGATGTGTAGCATTATTTTGAACTTTACTTCCACATAGTATAATTTATCCCTCAACGTTTTAAAAATTATTTCTTATTGAAGTATAGTTAGTTTACAATGTTGTGTTAGTTTCCAGTGTACAGCAAAGTGATTCAGTCATACATATGTGTGTGTGTGTGTGCGTGTGTGTGTGTATATATATATATATATATATATATATATATCCTTGTTGTTTACCAATTTTATATATAGTAGTGTGTATATGTTAATCCCAAACTTCTATGTTTTCGCTATCATAAATAGTGCTACTATGAACTTGCATGTATCTTTTAAAATTAGAGTTTTCTCTGCTATCCCTCAATTTTTTTTTTTTTTTTTTTGGCCATGGTGCAAAACTTGCAGGATCTTAGTTCCCGACCAGGGATTGAACCCAGGCCATGGCAGTGAAAGCACCGAGTCCTACCACTGGACTGCCAGGGAACTCCTTCTTATCCCTCAACTTTGAAAAATCTTATTATACCCTTTGGTCTACTGTCAGGACCAGATGGTATGTATCTTGCAATGCTATAGTGATACTGTAGCTAGAAATTCATTCTCTGTTCCAGCTTTCATGGGATACTAATACCAAGCTACAGCAGTTAAGTATATGTAATATCTCAGAAGGACCATATCTGGCAGTGGAGTATCAAACTTGATCATTTTCTTGAATTAAACAAGAGAATGTCCCCAAGGTGTTGAACTTGGAAGGAAAGTAGGTTCTCTTCTTCTGGCCCATATCTCTAAGAAGGGGTGATATTATTATCAGGAAGTTGTTGTGTGCATAAAACAGTCACAGGAGATTTTTTGCTCAAGCCAGAAAGTACCTTCTGTTTGGAGCCTACGTTTCCAACGTAAGCACCCTTTGAAATTTGAAATTCCTGTTTCAAAGTCTGTGACTCTCTGGTCTCTCTGATCTCTCCAAATTCATGTGGAATGGCCCAGGAATCTTCTCTGAGAGCCTTTTTAGAAAGTAAATTATTTCAGTGTTGGAACTATCATCTAAGTCTGTGGTCTGCCCTTTGAGCTCCATGGTCCACCGTGTTTTCAGTGCCCTCCAAATGCCAGCACTTTTAAATACAGGCTCCTTGTGAATGGTGTAAATGATGTTTAAAAGGCGGACTCGGATCATCCTGTGTCCCTATCTCTTCAAGGTTGGTGGAGTATCATCTGTTCTGATGCTCTGTTCATTGCCACAGATATAATGGCTTTTTCAAAACCACTTCAGAAAATTTGGTATTACTGGCTTTAGTCTGCACCTTGAGACAAAAAATTTCACAGCTGGGTAAGTAGTTTTGTAGAAAATTGATGTCTGTTAACAATTCTGCACATTCTGTGGGGGGAAAAATTGTACTCAGAAAGGGTATTATTTCTGTTACAGGGAAGCCAGATAATTGTCTATATAGTGAGAATTTCTACTCCAGCCTAACGTAGTTTCACTGGGTCCTCCTCAATAACCAGCAGACTTTAATCGGGGCATCCTCCCACTTAATTTCTTTGCACATTGACTTACAAATGGTTCTTTTGTCCATTCGGAGCAAAGACTCCTTTCTGCCTTTCGATGAATGGCAGACCCTTCAACCCGTGCTCTGAGTTCCCGATCTAGGTTCTTGGAGGTTTTGTCCACAAAAAGCCTTCTCTGTCTCCTTAGCACCAGACATGGGAATCTACTTGGACTCAGGTGCCCACTTGGTCATGAAGAGGCCGTGCAGCAGGATAAGTCTTGGGTTCTGCGTTTGGAGGCTGCC